GTTCTAGTGAGCTTGTACTCTAGATACTAACAATGGGTTTCAGAATGAAGATTGTTAATATGATCTCATATGACTAAAACATTGGTCTGTTAAGCCAGATATGATGCTTAAACCACAATATTAAATCAGAAAAAAATGATTAAATATAGAGGGCAGTTACAATCTTCTAACTTGTAAATTTTAGAAGATTTAAAGTTTTTCTTTCCCTTATGTGTATGAGTGTTTGCCTGGATGTATGTATATACACTGCATGAGTGCCGGAGCCCATGGAGATGAGGGGAGTGCCGCTCCCCTGGAACTGGAATTATGGATCGATATGAACCACCTTGTGAGGCTGGAAACCAAACTTGGGTCCCCTGGAAAAGAAGCCAGTGCTCTTTACTGCTGAGCCACCTCTCCAGTCTCATGTCTATATTTAAAAAGTAATCAGCAAGCATTCACTTTAGGACGTTTTGCTATGGAAGGATCTGAATACGTGTAAGAGACAGATGATGAGAATGCTCACCAGTTCACCATCTGTAATGGGAGAGGTTGCTCTACAGAGACAATGGTGTGGGAGGTCCTTCTGTCTATGTGTTGCTTTTATTGGTTAATGAATAAAGAAACTGCTTTGGACCTATAGCAGGGCAGAATTTAGGTAGGCGGGGAAGATGGAACTGAATGCTGGGAGGAAGAAGCCAGAGTCAGAGAGATACCATAGAGCCGCCAGAGTAAGATATGCCGAATCTTTGCTGGTAAGCCACTGCTATGTGGCGATATACAGATTAATAGAAATGGATTAAATTAATATAAGAGTTAGCCAATAAGAAGCTCGAGCTAATGGACCAAGCAAGAAGCTTGAGTTAATGGACCAAGCAGTGCTTTAATTAATATAGTTTCTGTGTGGTTATTTTAGTTCTGGGAAGCCAAGACGAACAAGCGCCCTCCTCCTACAAGACAACAACAAAAGAGTTAAAGACACACTTTAATTTACAGCACACCTCAGTTTACAAACCAGGAGCCTGAGCAACAGAACAGAGATCAAGACCTACCCAAAGAGAAAGCTGGTTTAGGATGGTGATCAGCACCTAATCTATTAGTTAAGGCCTTATATGGCACAATTACTTTGTATAATTGGTACACTGTAAGTTTAAGTAAATATCAGGAATACATCAGCTATAAATGTAGCACAAATGTGTCCATTAATAATATTTGGACACATCAGAATTTAAACAACTGTCTTAGGTTGCTTTCTAGTGCAGTAACAAATACCATCCAAAAAGCACAAGAAAGAAAAAGCATATTTGGCTTATAAATCCTGATCATAGTGTATCACGAAGGGAAGTCAGGACAGGCAGTCAAGGCAGGAACCTAGAGGCAGGAAGTGGAAACCATGGAGGAACAGTGTTTATTGTCTTGTTCCCAATGACTTGCTCAGCTGTTGGGGAGCCCTGCTGGACTAAGGTTGCAGTCCAACATGTCTGGACAGCTCTCTCAGAGCTCAACACAAGACGGGAGGACGCCCTTCCCCCAGCACGGCTTCCTACTCTCTGCCTGACCTTATTTGGAGATGGTCCCCATGCCTGGGTGCCTGACTTACCTTAGTCCAGACCTCTGACACAGTTCCCTGCAAATGCTTCCCTCTGCTGCCACACACAGTAATTAGATGTTCTATCATATACAGGACAGGGCTGTGCTGCCACATGTAACAGACATGTGCTCCAGCCTTGTGATAGGCGCAGGCCACCAAATGCAAATGAGGTGATATTCCAGCCTTTCCACCTCCTCACCTGGAACAAGGTCGAGCTGCCTCTCTGAAAGCTGTTTCTGCCATATTCACAGGCCGTACAAAGCCCTGCACTGCTGCTGCTCCCTTTGTCCTTGTGACCTGGTGGCGCCAACAAACCACAAGGAAGAGGAAGACCCCATATTCAGCTTGGTTTTTTAATACAACTCAGAACCACCTGTGGGGGCTGGAGGGCACCATTCATGGCGGGCTGGGCCCTACCTCAATCATTAATCAAGAGAATGCCCCACAGATTCGCTTACAGGTGAATCTTATAGAAGCGTTTTCTCAATTGAGTTCTTTCTTTCCAGAAAGACCCTAGCTTGTGTCAGGTTGACAAAAAATAAACAAAACTCTAACCACAACAATTACTGATTTAAATGCACTCTTGAATTTCTATTTTAGGCCCTTCACCCTACTATCAATATACAATTCTGTAGAGAAAAGAAATATTTGACCTGAAAGCCTTCAGAGATCATTCATCCAACACTGGTCTCCAACCCCTACAACATCTGCTTTCAAATTGAGGGCTTATTCTGTAGCCAGGGCTTGCCTGGTCCCACCAAGCAGCCCAAGCTGACCTAGAACTCCCAGCAATCCTCCTGCCCCAGCCACTGGAGGCTGAGATTACAAGTGTCACCCTGGTTGGCTCAGATTTTTCACTGGGAAAACAGACCAAGGGCAGTGCAGAACCTGACCGTCAGTGGCACAATTCACTGCAGAGCTAGGCTATATCTGGGGTGACCCCAAACTTCTTTCACCAAGACATCTCTCAGGGCACAAACCTGTCATCTACTTCACACAGCACCTGTATCTGAACTGAAGTCTTCAGGTGCCATGTAATGAATTTATGCACACTTGATAGTTGGTTGTCATTCTGTCCACTGTTTTGGAGATACAGGCTCTCCAGGTTTCCCAGGGTGATCCTGCCTTCTTCAGCTTCCCAAGTAGCTGAGAATATAGGTGCATGCTACCACATCCAGGGGTTTAATTACCATTGTGAAAGCTATCCTCAGACTTGTTACATGATTCCTAGGTGTAAACAACTACATATGCAGGTGAGCTGCAGACAAAGACAAAGATTAGAGGCAGGGACTGAAGCAGAGCAGAGGTCATGGAGGAATACTGTTTGCTGGCTTGCTCCCCATGGCTTACTCATGTAAAAGCAGAAATGAACACCAGAGGGAGATAGCCCACAATACCTATCACCCTAATAGGCTCAAGGATAGAAAGGAAATTCTTATTTCTGAACTGGTAGAGCATTGGCAGTCTAGTAATTGGCGTTGCCTGAAGAATGCCAATATCAATTTACTTGTGTGTTTACTTGGAGTAGTAACACAATTAAATCCTTGACCCGTACCATTTGAACAACATCTCTGGGTGTGCATAGAGTTACCGTTCACATATTTCATGTGTTTTAAGAGAGTCAAACAAACGGAGAGATAAATTCATCATGGACGACCCTAGAACGTTGTATACAAATTACTGCAAACCGGATGATGCTCCACTTTCCTGGACAGACGTCTTCTGGGCTGCAAAGCTAGTCTCAAAACCCAGATTTCAAAGTAAGACCTATAAAAGCCTGATGGCTCACAACACTGGGGAAGCAGAGTGGGAGGTCAGCCTGGGCTACATGGCAAACAAATCCCTGTCTCAGGGCTGGAGAGAAAGCTCGGTAGTTAAGAACATTTGCTCTTCCTGAGGACCTGGGTTCAATTCCCAGCACCCACAGGGCAGCTCCCAACCCTTCATAACTCCAGTTCTAGGGGACCTGACACCTCTCTTCTGACATGCATGGGTACCAGCACACATGTGCACAGATATACATGTGAGCAAAATACTCATACACATAAAATAAATTTAAAAAACCCCATCTCAAAAAGTAAATGCATCTGTTATATGATCTCTATACAACACAAGCTATTCAATGTTCTGTCCATGAACACAGAACTGTGAGGGAAACTATCTTGGTGCACTGATCAGGAAAGCAACACTCAATGACAAGCAACCTCGGCCTATGTAGGCCTTCTAAGGCAGTTACCTTCTAGGTGGTAAAGATGAGAGAAAAAAATTTTTTGTGAGACAATGTCTTGCTGTGGAATCCAGATTGACCTTAACCTCACAAACCTCCTGCTTCAGCAGAAGGGCTGGGCTTAAAGGTGTGCACACTGTGTCCAGCATGGACGTCTCCTAAAACCTCTCTGCTTCAACACTCTAAAACAGCAGTTCTCAACCTGGATATCGCAGCTCCTATGGAGGAGGAATGACCCTTTTACAGCAGTCCGCTAGGAATACTGGAAAACATAGATATTTATATTTGTTATGAAGTAGCAAGCACGGCTCTGTCAGGCATTGCCCTCACCATTCCCTCTGTTTTGCTAAACTGATCAACTTCAGAAAGCTAGCCACCAAGGTCTAGCCACCAAGGTCTAGCCACCAAGGTCTATTCCCTTATTCGGCCACTTCCTCCTCCTGAAGCTGACTACCAAGGTCCAACTATCAAAGTATTGAAGTCCAGCAATCAAAAGCCCCCTTTTGACTGCCCTAATTAAGATGCTCAATCAAAACAAACCAACTCATTCTAACAAAGGCTTCCCCTTTATTCCTTCATAAACTGCCATTTGCCTATGGGCTACAGTCTGTCTCTTCTCCGTCCAGAGGCAGTCCTTGTCCCTTGAGGCAAATATCCCTTTCCCCTTGCTCCTTTTCTCTTCTTTCCTGTCTTTGTCTTATTCTCTGCCCTTTGTCCCTCTGGGGCAAATAAATCTTTGTGCTGAGAACTCGGTCTTGGGGTTTTTTGCACCAACACTGGTCCTTTTAACCACAACACGAGAAATTGTATTAAAAGGCCGCAGCATCAGGACCAATATGAGGAACTGTATAAAAGGGCCTCAGCATCAGGACCATTGAGAACTACTCTTCTAAGAAAACCAGCCTTGATCCCAGTACTGAACCAAAAGACAAAACAACAACAAAAAAAATCCACCAAAACTTTTTATTTAAATTGGCACATTTGCACAATTCTACCAATCCCCAAAACTTCAAAACAACTCATGTTTATTATTTTGGGGTCAAATTAAAAGTTTCTATTGGCAAGTGCTACATACAAAGCACACATGAGCTCGACACAGGTGACAGATCATGCAGCACACAGTCTGGCATGAACACTATCCCATTTAGCTCCGACTGTAGCAGTACTGTGGCATAGTCTGATGGCAAGGGTCAGAGAGCTTACCTCAAATTGTGGGTAAGGAGGAGTCATGGTTGAAGGGGGCCCTGAGGTGGGAGGTGGCATCCCTGAAGTGGGTGGGAACAGACCCAAGGCATTCAGATTTAATCCAGGGATTAAATGTGCTTGAAGCTGCAATGGTAAAAAGAAAAAAAGTCTCTTAATTTTCAATCAGAAGAATCGAGGGGGTGAGCCACACTAAGAAAGCAATTTTTGAATACAACAGGTGTTTCCACAGAACTACAGGTGCTGTTCACACCTCTTGGCATATTTGAGGGCTGGTTTGCCCTGCACTGAGGAGTCTCAAGGCCAAGAGCAGCAGCTCAGAGCACTTCAGACAGAATGGTACTCTGCCTGCGGGGGGCCTTCTTCCATTGGCTGAAAGGTAAATACCTGAGGTGTGCTTGGGGACCATAGCAGGCACACACGGGCAGGAATTTGCTTTCATAGCTTTTGCTACATTTGTCACAGGAAATTCCCCATCTCCCAGGCTTATATGGGCAACACAGAAAAATTCAAACCTGTGTTTCTGCTTTGCTCTATGATTCTCCAGAGTAGGAGCCGAGACATGCTAGGCATGCATTCCAGCAGACGCCACACTCACAGCCCAAGACCTGTACGACGTACAGCACGGCCCTTCTAAATTGTTCAGGGTAGCCTTGACCTTGCAATCCACCCACCTCAGCCTTCCAAGTTGTTGGACTTGCTTCACTCTGCCTGGCTCTTAAGACTGTTTCTAACAGCACCTTTTACATGCATGGCACTTGTAATCCCAGGAGACAGCAGTGTCTGATAGAGAGAAAGCTGCTGCGCACAAACAGGCATCAGGGAATCGGACTTAATTCACCTGCCTCTAATCCGCACATCCTTCCTGCACTAGAGTCCCTCAATTAACACAGGAAAGGAGGTAATAAACACCCTTTGGTAGGCAGGTATTAATCATCCCTCATGTATCAGCAAGCCAAGGCTCCAAAGCTATCTGATTCATTAGAAATCACAGAGAAAGCAAAGCCCAACGCCCAGGCTTCTGTGTTACCCCAGGGTACTTGGGGTGGTGCGGACAACTCATCTAAACCACTTCTCACTACAAAGGGAAAGTTCAGATCAGGCGGTGGGAGCCGTCTGTCAGCTCTCCACCAGAACTAACATTCATGGAGGCAATGTCATTTTCATAAGACTCCCTGATTTTCTTCATTATCTCCTCCTCGGCCTTGGCGCACGTCTCAACATTGCCTTTGACTGTAATGGTGCGCTCCAGGTTGTACAGCGTCAGTTCCTGCAACCTGAGGGTGGAAGAGGAGAAAGAACAAGAATGACAGGAGGAAGATGGGTGAGTGTCATTCGGCCCCAGATGGTAACTGAAACCAGCTGGCAGGGCTTGGATCATGAGAAAGTGACAGATCGCGGCCCAAGTTCAAGAGCTGTGACAGTTTCTTTCTATTCCTTCAGGGACAATGACTGGGCACAAGGTTTCATTACATCCATGCTTTAAACACTGCGTACTCCATTTTTTAAGGCATCTTTAAAAATTTATTTAATTTTGTGTGTCAGATCCCCTGGGACTGGAGTTACAGAGTTCTAAGCTGCCAAGTGGGTGCTAGGAATTGAATTCGAGACCTCTGGAAGAACAGCCAGTGCTCTTAACCGCTGAGCTATCTGTCCAGTCCCCAGGACTTACTTCTTGACCCCCTTATCTCACCCTCTGACAGTGAACTGGAGGGGTGGGGGGGCAGACAGTGTGGCCAGGATGCTCCTACTGTACTGGCCAATTCTAAGCAGAGCCAGCTATCTTGTGCAACTACATTTTCTGGAGTAAGCAAGGAAAACACTTCTCAAAAGCAAACCAGCATTTGTATGACGGAACTTTGTTTTCTCCAACATTTTCAGAATTTAAAGTAGTCTGAAGGAAGTAGCACAAGTCAATCCATCTTAACTAAATTTTTTACTTTTAATTAATTAATTTATTTGCGGTTTTTCAAGATAGGGTTTTTCTGTGTATCCATGGCTGTTCAGGAACTCGCCCTGTACACTGGCTAGAACGGCCTTAACTAGGAACTCTGCCCGACTCTGCCTCCCAAGTGCTGAGATTAAAGGCATGCGGCACTGCTGTCTAGCCAACTAAAATTTTTAAATGGTCCACATTGACTCTATTTATATTCCTAAACAGACAACATTAAGAAACTCCTTGCTTAGCTCTGGCCCTGCTGATGCTTCAAAGCCATGAGAAATTCTGTCTGAGTGCACCTAAGCCTACAGCAGTCAGCAGCCTTGAGAGGAAAAGCAACATTCACCACAGAAGGAGGGCTATGTACATAGACCCAGAGGAGGAGGGTGCGTGACTGTCAAGAGTTAAACATCCATCTTCACTGCTAGGAACATGGTGGAGACTAACCTTGTGGAGACGGACAGGACATTATTCCTTTTCCTCACATGTGAATAAAATGTAAATCATATAATGAAGAAGTGAGTCCTACAGTGGAGCCTACATTCCCTTAGACTATGTAAGCACAAGCACACTGAACCTCCACTCCCAAGCCGTCCCTGTCAAGCACTTTGCATTGTAATTTTATCATTCATTTTCAGCCCACCAGCTACTTCTGGGGTCCTATGACAGAAACCTAGGATCGTCACTCCAGAAAAAGGAAACCTTTCTCTTATTATCAGAACACACATATACCCCTGGTGTGATAGGCCACCTCTAAGATTAGGCCCCTTGTAAAGAAATCTGAAGTCTGTACCCATATGGAATAGGGCTGACTTGTGCAGACCACACAGGAACAGTTAAGTGTGTAAATTCTGAGATTTTATCATAAAAGACATTATAGCTTCCAGCACCTTCTTTTTCTTGGTTCACTCCCTCTGGGAGAGGGCAGTCCTCTATGGACATTCAAGAACAGACTGTAGACAGGTCCCAGTCCTGAGCTGTCTGTGGATCCCTAACCCATATAAACAAGCCATGCAATTGCTAGTGGGAGTGCAAGCTGGTGCAGCCCCTTTGGTTGTCAGTGTGGCAATTACTCAGAAAATTAGAAAACAACCTTCCTCAAGACCTAGCAATACCACTTTTGGGTATATATCTAAAGAATGCTCAATCGTGCCACAAGGACATGTGCTCAACTATGTTTATAGCAGCATTGTTTGTCATAGCTAGAAACTAGAAACAACCTAAACGCCCTCCGACCGAAGAATGGATAAGGAAAATGTGGTACATTTACACAATGGAGTACTACACAGCAGAAAAAAATAATGATATCTTGAAATATGGGGGCAAATGGATGGAGCTAGAAAATATCATTTTGAGTGAGGTAACCCAGACCCAAAAAGACAATTATCACATGTACTCACTCATAAGTGGTTTTTAAACATAAAATAAAGAAAACCAGCTTACAAATCACAATCCTAGAGAACCTAGACAACAGTGAAAACCCTAAGAGAGACATACATAGATCTAATCTACATGGGAAGTAGAAAAAGGCAAGATCTCCTGAGTAAACTGGGAGCATGGAGACCTTGGGAGAGGACAGGCAGGGAGGGGAGCAGAAAAAAATGTAGAGCTCAATAAAAATTTAAAAAAAAGAAAACAAACAAAAACAAGTCATGCAATACAGGTTGATTATTGTCTTAAACTGGCAAATGGTGGGATAATTCATAACACAGTGGGAAATAAATGTCAAACAATACCATGAAGACTCTGGTTAGGAAATATGAATGTCAAGTGTTAAGCTTGTCTTGCCACCTTTTGAGAAGAAGCAACACTTGAAGATGTTGGAAACAGGGCAGGCTGAGAACAGGCTCGCTCTCGGCCCAATAGCAGAGCGGAACAGTTGTAAGCAGGGAACCGTGTACCAAACACACAGCTTAAAAACAAGGTCCGAAAGCCCCCAAATTCAAAAACAAGATGGCACTTACGGAGATATTGTGATTTTAGTGTCTGTGTCTTGTTCAATTTTTTTAAGGTTTCTTCCTTCTTTACCAATAAGACGGCCCACAAAATTATTGTGAGCTAATATCTTCAGGGGGATCTCCTCTGTGCTATAAGCAGAAAAATGGTCATAAGTCAGGGAAAGTAACTCCTCTTGGACAAAAAGACGCTGTTCTTTGTTAAACATTCGCTCCTTAACTACTGAGCGAGAAAGGCATGCTGCCCCCCTGTTTACAGTGAGCTGGCAATGAACCCAAATGCCAGCAACTCATGCAGTAATCAGTAGGTAAACAACAGCAGATATTTACAAAGGCCTTTCATCTTCTACTCACATCAGGGAATCTCAGTCAGAGCAGAACACAATGTACAAATCAAAACAGTACAATCTTAGGATACCTCTGAAAGCACACCAACAGAGGTCACACCTGAAGAGACGGCCAGCAGAAACGGAGCTTTCACTCCGCATCCTGTGCCTTGTTGGCTTTCTCTCTATGTTCAGGTTGTATGTGAGTCTATACATATATATGGAGGCACATTCGCTCCTGAGTGCACACATGCTGGCCAGAAGTAGAGGTGTCAAGTATCTGTCTCTATCATACTCCACAGTCTCCTGAGACAGGGTCTCTCCCTGAGCCTGGGGCTCACTGAGAACCCCCAGGATCTGCTGTCTCCTCAAAGCTAGACGCATGCCCAGCTGATGAGAGCCTAGGGGACCAAGCTCAGGGCCTCAAGCTTCTCACAGCAGGCACTGTGCCACTGAGCTGCTTCCTGTGCCCCTTCCAGAATCTCTGATTTACACATCGCGCTTTTCTAACGTCACTGGGGGCTCCATGATGGTGGACTTTCCCTTTACTTTCTCTATACTAAAAAACTACTGCACGCATATAAGACACCTATCACTGAAACATACTTACATATTTACAGAGTAAATAAAGGCAGTGTGGTCCTAGGGCACCTCCTTGAGCCTTGCTCTGGGCTGTGTTCAATGCATCAGTTGGCATCGAAGCCAACCTAATTTCTGACAGTACAGACATTCAGAGTTCCAACCTTCAACACCCACATCAATCTCCAGTTGCCCTGAGCACAGAATTAGGGGCTTTCACACTCCATGCCCTGTTGTACATGGAGGGGCTAGGAGTAGACAGAAACAGAACGCCCAAGGCCTGCCAGTAAAGGTCTGAGGTAAATCCCAAATTACTTCTTGGCCCTCAGTTGGCTGTGTCCCCCCAGGCTGCCTTCTTCTAGTTACATTTTCCTTCCCACTATTGCTGCTTGTTCCATATGAATGAAAGTGGTTTTAGGTATGTAAAAGACTTAGTGTTTCACACCGCGTCAACAGTGGCAAACACTACCTCGTCAGGATAGCATTAATCCCCAAGAAAGTGTCAGAGATCTACGATTTGGCAAGCTAGTCCTCGTTACTCACAGTTTGGTGTCTTGAGCTTCCTTATGCATAATCTCCAGAATCGACTTACAAGCTGCAGAGGCACCTTCAGGGGTAGAGAGGATAGTAATGGGCTTCTCGGCGGCCCCCGTATTCTCCTTACGATGGACATCAATTCTGATGGCAGGCACAAGGGGAAGAAGATAGGACAGTCAGTGCATACTCACCACAAGGAGTCTTGAGTCACCAGCTATAAGCCCCAGGACTTCGGGTGGAACAAGGAGATTCACTTTATTAAAAGGAAACTTGTAATCAGCGCCAACAGAGCAAGGGCTCCATATATAGACTGGCCTTAAATTTGCTACGAAGTGGGAAAGGTCCTTGACTTTTGGTTCTCCTGCCTCTGCCTTCAGAGCGCGGAGACCACAGACATTTACCTCCATGCCTAGCTCATGCAAACCTGGGATGCATTTTTTTATGATGGGCAATCTTGACTGTCATCCTGACGGGGTTTTAAATCACCATGGAGCCAAATCTCCAAACATGTCTAAGAGTTTATAGATTGGGAAGCACATTCTAAACGGGGTGGTGCAGTCTCATGGATTTGGGATCCTAGCAAGTGGAACATGGGAGCTTCCATCCCTCTCTGCTTCCTGACTATGGATGCTATGTGACCAGCCGCCTCCTGCTCCAGCCACGGTCACCACCATAATGGGCTGTCTTCCCTATAACAGTGAGCCAACCTAAGCCTTCCCTTCCTCCACCTGTTTGGTTTGCAGCAACGAGACACACACAACTAATACACTAAGCAAACATTGGGCTACAGCCTCAGCCCACAAATTCCAATCCCAGGTGCTCTCTCTTCTCAATCCAAACATAGACATCTTTCATTCTTCTAAGTTGTTTGTGTTAAAGCCCAGAGCAATCTGTAATGAGATACAGAGACTTGTGCCGTCAAGACACCCAGAGTTGGGATCCCACAGCCAAGTTGGTCCCCTAGTCAGATCCAGAATGTTCGTTCACCTATCGCCCTATGGCAGGTTTTACTCATCCAATTTTTTGTTTACAAGGTTCTGTATCATTGATAAAGTCAGCAACAAACAGTGATGGGAATAGAACGGTGACCAATTGGCTTAAAAAAAAAAAAAAGAAAAAGAAAAAAAGCCAGGCAGTGGTGGCACATGCACTTTCAAGACAGAAGCCAGCCTGGTCTACAGAGTGAGTCAGGATAGGACAGCCAGGACATAAATATATTATGGGTTTTTTGTTCTAGACCAGCAAATGTTTTTTAAAAGATTTATTTATTTATTATGTATATAGTGTTCTGTCTGGATGTATGCTTGCATACCAAAAGAGGGCACCAGATAGCATTACAGATGGTTGTGAGCCACCATGTGGTTGCTGGGAATTGATTTCAGGACCTCTGGAAGAGCAGCCAGAGCTCTTAACGGTTGAGCCATTAAGAGCTGGTCCCCTGACCTGTAAATATTTTAAGATGCATAAAATTAAATATCGGTGAAGTGAAGGGATATGAGGCTGATCCACAATTTTGGTGGCAAACTGGCAGGACCAATTGAAGGTAAAATGCTGATTAACTAAAAAATTATCGCTGTAGGTGATGTTTATGAGTATGGGCACACACATGCCACAATACTGTACAGAGATTGGAGGAGCTGGTTCCCTCCTCCCACTTTTTGAGGCAAGGTCCCCCTTGTCTCTCATGCTTTGTACTCCCCGGAGAGCTGCAGGCCAGCCAGACTGGAGTCTCCTGGCTCCACATCCCACCTCCCAGTAGGAGTGCTGGGGCTTACAGATGGGCACCAGTTGAGTCCAAATGTTTTGTTCTCTCAGGATCAAACTCAGGTTCTAGGCTCAGACAGCTAGCATGTTCACAGCTGAACCGCTGCACGAGCTTGTCGGCACTCTGACCTCACAGTTTAACAGGTGGGCTGACGTGGCACTGCTCACCCCCAGCATTCACACATTTAAGGTCAAAGTCATTCTTTCTGTGGCTCCAGAAGCAGCTGTGGCCTCTGCCTACGAGATGACAGCAGCACCCTTCACTCTGGTACGACAGTCAAAAACATTTCCAGAAACTGCAGATGTTAACTCAGAGACCACTGGTGTGGTGATGTTCCTTGTAGCGCTATTCCTACTAAGGAAAAAAAAAAAAAAAACCTGGAACTTTTACTGTGCTGGATAGAATGTGATGGTTAAGTGACAGTCCGTATGCACCTGTGATAGTCCAGGACACTGGGTGCAAGGAGCAAGCACCATTAAGCTACATCTGCAGTTACTTTTCACCAAATGTGGTAACACAGTAAGCATCCTTGGTCTTAAGTGAAAATAAGCAATACATGCCATGTGTTATTTTCTAAAGTTACAAGTTAATAGTTGCAAATAAAAAGTCCTATAAAAAGATACAATAGTTCAAAATTTAACAACCCTGGGATGACAAGAATCTAATTAATTTTTTTAAAAATATGTGCATTCGTACATTTTTAATTAACCACAAATTAAGTTTGCTGCTGTAAGAATATTAACTACCTCTGAGCATGTGTTTTAGGGAAATCTAAGCAACTACTGGGTGGTCCTTTGGAGTTTCTTCATCTCTTAAGGACACACCGCTATGAGAACAGCCACTCAACAAGCCAATAAAACTAAGGCTTGCATTTCACTTTATTAGAATTTGCACCACAATTAAAACCTGTAACTTAAGGTAATGTAGAAATGAAACAAATAAGAACTATGAACATAGAAGGCATGTGTCTAGATAATAGCTCCAATCCCTGACACTATCTTCCCAACCCACTCTAAAACCCAGTCACTGAGTCATGTGGTCTTCCACTAACATGGTCACAGCCCCTCCTTCAGTGTGTTCCCACCCTTTTACTGGGCTGAGGGCTATAAAACTCTGATCCTGAGAAGGGAATGTTGCTCTGGTGATCAGCACCCTCCCCTGGGACTATTCCTGAAACAGGGGTTTCTGGTAATGATTAGTTACAATGGCAAGAATTAATTAAATCCACCGGTAGGGCTCTACAGCCGGATCATCAGCCAGACAAAAACACTCCCTCTGCTTTGCCCCCATCTGCCTACCCTAAGTAAACAGTGCAGCTGAAGCCACAGCTCCTTTATCTGACAGCTCTCATCAGCAGCTTGCAAAGGAACTAAGCTGCTAATGCAAAGAGCACCCTCTTACTAAGTTCCCGGAGGTAAGGGATGGAAGGAGGTGAGACACTCCACACTTTCAGATGAAAGGTAGGTAAATTGATCCACGTCCTAGCTTCTTAAGCTATACGGGTTACAACCTCATATGGGTCCCATTACTTAATGTGAGGGCTGTGAAAATTTCTGCAATAGAAAAGGTTACTGAACACTGCTGTTAGGTTTCAAACCCAGGACAAAAGGCTGAGGTGTCTGTTTAACGTATAAAGCAGATGCTGGTTGCCAAGTCCCTGTTACAGGGTATGGCTGGCACGCCCCACACCCTACCCAAAACTTCTAACCCAGAGGGCTGGGTTTCCCTTCTCTATATAATCCAATCATTTTGGTTACCCACTATCTTTGTACCCTTGGCCCTCCTAGCTGCTGCACCTGGTTCTCGAACTCTGTCCCCTCTCAGTCTGCCCGTGTCTACTCTGTCCTCCCCCACAGATCCCTGCCTCTGGCTACATCTCTACATCTCACCTACATCTCTACACTAAACCTCCTACACCACACCTAGGAGCAGTCATGTTTCCTTTCTTTTCCTTTTTTTTTTTAATTTGAAACATGTGGTGGCCAAAATTTATTTCCAAACCTCAAGGGGAATGAATGAGTCTGATGTGTTTCTGGAAACACTCGGACATGGATCACATAATTTCACTGAAGTCTTGGTTCTGAACAGACATGTGCACTTTGCACTGCACCACGTGTGCCCTTACACCAAGGAACACTGCACACCTCACACTCGAGACTGCGTGAAGAACCAGCATTGTAAGCGCACACTCAAAGTTTTGTGTTCTTAGTGGAAACTAATAGTCTAGTTGAGAAAAAGACTTTTAACATATTCCTGCTGCCATCCCTCGACACACATCCAACTGGCAGACCCTTGAATTGGACCGTGTAGGAATACTTGATTTTAGAAATTGGTGTTTGAGTCACTAATTTGAGTTTCAATTAAAAAAAATCATTAAATAATTTTTGGCTTGAGATTCGGACATAATTTCCAACAACGTATAGAAGGGCCTAACTAGACTTGAGCTGTTTTGCACTACACGTTTATGTGAAGCAGCGTACTCAACCCCGAGGCCAGAATCAAAGCCCTGATCTGCCCTGAAAACCTTGAAGATGCTCCATGTTCTACAGGGTCAACTATCTGGCCAAGATTTAATTCTTTATGTGGCAACAAAGAAGGCATCTCTCTCATTACTATGCAAATCAGTTTTCATTTTTAATCAATTATAAAATTACATGAATACTAAAGAATTATTTTAATTTTTTTTAAGGATTTACTATGCTTGACTTGAATCTTACAGACTATTTTCTGAAAGATACATAAATTTTCTCAGGGAAAAAGGGGTCACAAGTAAAATTTAAGAAGTTCTTACCTAGATAATGGTTCAGTTGTTTTCTCCATTCACTAATAATGAGTTTAGAATCATGAATGGAGCACACAGGTACCCAGCACTCAGTGTCTCTCCTTCAAAGCAGGAGCTGAGAAGGATAGGATATCCCAGCAGGGCTGGGTGAACTTACAACTGACGCCAGATAAATTCCTTTAGGTTCTTCATGGAATGTGCCTCCCAGTTCACCGTAGGCAGGTTGCCTGTTTTGACTATGGATACCTCTGAGGCCCATGAAACACACTCAGGCACAAAGAACACACAGCAGCACGGCACTGTTTCCAGAAAAGGAACAAGCTCAATTTCTCTAATCACATGAAATTCTCCTTCTTACTAAATGTAAACAGTAAAATCATCCAGCCCTTTCTGTAGCTGGGTCAGGCTGCAGAGATGCTATTTACACACAACCTCCTCCCCAATCACTTCCTTCCTAGGAATTCTCCGAGTCTTCAGGAAGCATGGTTGGTTGCACAGGGCCAGCAGCATGTAGCTGTGCAGAGGTAGGAGTGGAGGGTGAGTTTTCAGCAAGCTTCTTTGAATTAGAGCATCCACACACTGCACAAGGTCACAGTTTACAGGGCAAAACAAGTAACCTGCAATGCAACAGAAGAGCCTGCAATCTGAGACGGAGTCTCAGACAGAGGCGATGACGGGCTTCTGTGTATCAGGCGGTGGCCCCACACAACGGGCTGTGGTGATAAGTGCCAACAGGTCCTGCCTGACTCCAACAGCCAAACAGCCTCAAGAAAAGTCATTCTAACTTCAGATTTAACCATAGAACAAATTTAAACCAGAGGATGATTTTTTTTTAATTTTACTTACTATTAATTGCTATGTAAGTGAGTGATTGTGTGAGTATGGACATGTGCATGCTTTAGTGCACATGGAAAGAAGTCAGTGGAGGGGCAGGAAAGACGGCTCAGCAGTTAAGAGCACTGAGTACACACACGCATGTATATGCACACACACAAGCACGCACGCAATGTATACAAACACACACACACACACACTAATAAATGTAATTTAATTTAAAACAGTTCTTGAGCAATCAGAGGACAACTCTGAGGAGCCCATTCTCTCCCCTCCCATCACGGATGCAGGAATGGAATGCAGGCAGCAGTCCTGCACGGGGAGTGCCTTCATGTCAAGTGGTTTAGAGCTAAGCTACCTTGCCAGCCCTTTTTTCTATTTTTTTCACACAGCCCCAGCTGTCTTCACTCACTACATAGCTATGTCCAGGAACTCCTGCCTCTCCTTCCAGAGACAGGTGTGTACCTGGAGTTCTATCCTGAAGCTAAAGATCAAACAGGTGGGACACTGCAGGCCGGCGGGCGAGGAGGTGACATGTCCACTGCCCTCTGGTCTGCCGGGGCCTTGTCCATCACAGTGGCATCAATACCATTTGTTTCCCATTCATGTGAGAAAATGAGATTTCCTTTGAGGTTTTATACAAGCAATCATGCATGATCAGATCACAAGGGTTTCCCTGCCACATTCCCCAGTACTGTAAAAGAGAGCCCCAACTCTGTTCGGAAGGACACCAAGTTCCTGCACACCACACCCTAATACTAGACACAACGAGGAAGAAGAAAAGATGGCCACCCACTCCCACGTACTCACTTAGACTGGGTCTGCTTGGTGATGTTCCGAATGGTGGCACCTTCTTTTCCTATAATGGCTCCAACAAACTGGGTGGGAACCAGCAGGCGCAGAGGCAGGTCACAGGGTTTCGGCTTGGATACTGATCCTGGAGATGCCTGCCTGGATGAACCCCGCTGCCCTGGCCCCCGGCGCCCTCGGAGCTGCAGCGAGGGATTTTGCTGGGCGGCTGTTTCATCGGGGATGTAGGCGACCTTCAAGGTGAAGTTCTCTAACTGGAATCCATTCAGTTTGTCTAAGGCTCTGAAAATTCACAAGGGACAGAGGATGTGAAGGGAAGCAGTGGTATGACAGCCCTGTACACAGCAGCCACCCGGCTCTCAGGAAGAAAACCACCCTATGGGATAAACCCTGCCACCACCATACTCTTCTTTGAAGTCTGCACCTAGGGACAGCCAGTGGGTCCCAAAGGCACATAATTTCCATCTACTAGTGAGAAAAAGAAACAAAATTCAAGTTAAATTCTTGATTCAGTTCAACCAAGAGGTTAGTGACAGCTTGGAAATACATCAAGGAAGGAGCTCACAGCTCCAAGGTAACTCAGCTGCCCAAAGGGCAAACATCCCTAAAAACTAGACACTGGTCGGATACTTAGTAAGATTTCGTGATAAGTCTTGCCAAGGAAATAACAGTTTGCTCATCTTGGTGGAGTTTTGATCTGATCTCAGGAAGGGAATGAACAGGATGGAGACAAGGAGGAAAGAGAGAGAGGGAGATGAGGAGGAAGGAGAGAGACTAGGAGGGAGACAAGGAGGGAGGAGGGAGATGAGGAGAAGGGAGGGGAAGAGATGAGGAGGAGGAAGAAGGAAGACAGGGAGGGAGGAAGGGAAACTGCTCTTCTCTTCACCCACGACTGCACTTTGTATCTGCTGGTGAGAGTTTGAGCCTTTGCCCACGTTTTCAACTTTACTGTAACATTTATATGACATGGTACACAATTCTGGCACACATTTAGAGTTTTAAAATTAAATTTATTATCGATGGGGCTGCGCAGAGCATACATGGAGGTCAGAGGACTCTGTGGACTCAGCTCTCTGCCTCCACCTTTACAGAGGTTCCAAGGACCAAACCCAAACCCAGGTTGTCAGGCTGGACTGTAGGAACACAAGGCGCTTTACCTCCCGAGTCGGCCCACAGTCCCTCCAGACTAAGAACCAGGACATTACCAGGGTCCCAGAAGTCCTGTCAGGGCCCTGCTTCAGTAGCCCCTCACTTTCTCAGACCCTGAACACAGACTGATTTTGCCTTTCAAGAAAGTCTATATAAGGACATGTGGGCACATGACCCTCTCAGGTCAGCCCGTTTCTATGTAACATAAGCTCCGTCCTATTATAGTCCATTCACCTTGCATACTTCAGACAGGAAGCCGAACAATACATTGGTGCAGTATATAGAGCCAAGATTTCAAGCATTCACATACTCTTAACTTACACCTTTGTAACTCCTCAGAGCACAGTGAATGGATTGGGGGTGGGGGCTCTCACTTTTCCTAGACAACTCAAGCTCTTGTCAGATTCTATGTGAGCGGACTCTGAGCTCAGCTCATGCAGGTAAAGATAAAAGCATAAAGCATTCTCTCTCCCATGGTTCCATGGAGTTCTCTCTGGCGTCTTAGTTCATTTCCTTACTTGAACATCTACTTTCTGATTCTTAGATGGAAAGGGAAGGACAGAGGAGACTTAACAGCACACAGGTCTCTGAGAAGACCGGGCAGAAGGCACAGGGGAACAGCCATGAGGGATCACAGAATCTTTGGACAAAATTCTGTGCTTTTCTCTCACTTCTATCTTGTCCTATATTTCCCAGGACACGAATGAGTCCTTGTCCAACATCTGCAGTTCCAAAATACAGCAGGAACAAGGTGTGCTGCCACCTTTCCCAGAGTGGCTAAGTATGGCATCTCTGAGAATGGGTCAGCCCTGTTTATTTCAAACACGTGGGCATGGTCAGCAGCTCCTCCTTAGGCTGTGGTTGTGACGTGCAACACTCTGTGGTTGTGACGTGCAACAATCTGTGGCTGATTTCTGCCCAGATATAGTATCCTGCGATATTTCCACATGATTTTATGTTGGAGGGCATTCTTCACACAAGCACCAGAGACCGACTAATTACCAATGCCTTGGTGACACAACCCTCACACACTGTTCCTTCTTCTCTTCTCTTCCTCTTAAGCAAATGTAGATTAAAGTCTATTAAATATATTGCCATTTCTAAAGGGAGAAAATGGAGAAGTTTTATTAATACATAGATGTATATTTATTAGACAAAATTGAAGTTTCAATAGTCTTAAAGACTTGAAGTATTTTAAGCCATTTTGAATGTCAGAAATCATAAAAGGTTTTTTTCCCAAAAATCTCACCTAGATAAAGGAATCACAACTCCTTCTGCAGACATAAAGAGGCTGTTCACTATCTACCCTTCGTTATAAAATTAGGCACTGCTGGCTTCAGCGGTCAGGAGACTCTTACCATGGAATGAAGCCAGGAATGTTACAAAAGGGTGAGACAGACACACAGACATCCTCCTTCATGTGGACAAACAGAGGAAAGTCTATGTTGCCAGATGCTTCTGTGTATTCTAGAACAATCTAAACAAAGGAACACATGTCCCAAGAAACAACTGTCAACTTGGCAGAAATTAGGACTTTAACATTCTACTGCCCTGCTTTAAATGTGTTCCTCTGAAGGAAGAGATTCTCCTAGGGAGGAAGCAAGAAAGTGTAAAGTCATGTTACCCAGTGCAGTCAGGGACCCACGTTCCAGTTCAGGCCCCTCCAGGATGTGAGAAGACAGTGGTGTGTGAAGCTCAGCACAAGCTGAGTCCCCCTCAGACCACAGCAGTCCAGTCCACGCCAGACTGAGAGGACAGGGGTCGGCTAGCTGCAGAGCAATGGCTAAAGCTCCTTAGTTTAGAGTTTTAAATCAACAGCTAAAACTTCCCATGCACCCACCTGATATTCAGCGTTGGCAGGTGGTGGCAGAGGTCTGCTAAGGGCAGGAGAAAAAACTGCTGTTTTCAGTTTTCCTCCTGTAAGATCTGGGAGGAGCTGTTATAACCATTTGACAGAACTCAGGAATCCAAGCCAATGTATGTAGCGCTTAGATCCTGCTTTTAATCAGCACTCCACTTGCTCTGATGCTATTTTACATCATTCAGAAGATGGTGAAGGGGCTGGTGAGATGGGTAAAGGTGTTTGTGACTTACTGGTACAAGACTGAAGACCTGGGTTTGATTCCAGTGGAAGACAGAATCGACCCTAGAAATTTTCCTGACTTCCCCACATGCATAGGCTTACCTGTGCCCACTCATCTGCACACATACATGGACATAGCCCATATGCGTGTGCACAGTCAATAATAAATACATTTATCTTTAAAATAATACAAGTGTGTTGGAGAATTTCTGGTTTAAATAATTAACTTATTAAGTTTATTAGGTAACAATAATAGTCTAGCCTTGCTAGAATAGAAAGTTCAGCCTGAAGACCAATGGGAGGAAGAAGAATAAAGAAATGATAACCAGACATTAAATCTACCCCCATATAGTGATCTGAATGATAAAGAAAAGTGGATGACTTGTAACTAGCATTCTCATCCACCTTGGCTAGTGATCATGCTATCCAGAGAGACCATTTTTCAGTTTGGTATTTGCTGCCCCACATATAAACTAAAGATTAGACTGATGGGTTCTTTCAGTGTCTTTCTAGCAATTGACCCAGTGTCTTGTGCCTGCTAAGTACATGTTCTTCCACAGAAGATGCCACCACCATAGTTTCCTTTTCTTACGCCCCTGTGTCACTGCTATCTGAGGTGTGTACTAACAAGATGAAATTAACAAGATGAATGCAGTCCTCTCCTTGGACTATGATACAGTTTCAATGTTTTCAACAAAACTCATGGTATTTGGAGACAGAACCTTTGGGAGATCCATACAGATAAATAGAATCCAATAGAACTGTGGATCATTAGAAGAAGCAAGACCTGAGCTAGGATGGTCAGCTTTCCCATGTGAGGTTCTGCATAGCCTTGGTACACTACAGTCCCCACTAGCAAGAAAACCCTCATCAGATACAGCCACTGAATCCTGGACTTCCTAGCCTGATGCCTCCGGATCATATAAGCCTTTATGCCTGCTGTGGCACTCAGTGGCAGCTCAGGAAACAGGGAGGCATACCAAGAATTAATTAAAGGCTGATAATTAAGCACAGACCACCAAAATCCTAGAAACACCACTGCATCTTAATTACGGACAAAGCACAATCACTTACCCATAAAGGACTTCAAGATTTAAGTGTTTCTAAAAGAAAAATAAAAAACAAACACCGAGGGCTCAGAAGTTAGTAAAGTGCTTACATGGAAGTCACAAGGACTGGCTGACGCCCAGCACCCACAAAAGGCTCATGAACAGTAGCACATACTGGCAGTCTCAGCCCAGGTGGGGGCCAATGAGACGGTCAGCTAGTAAAGGTACCTGCCACCAAGGCTGATGATCCCAGACCCAGACCCAGGACCCAGAGGATGCAAAGACAAATAGACTCTCGGAAGTTGCCCTTACTTCCACACATACACCATACCATGTGCAAGCATGTGTACATACAAATAAATAAACATAACTTTAAAAAAAAAAACGCACAGAGCAGCGCACTGAAAGTAGCTGTGAAAGCTGTGGTGTGCAGGATGAAGGCCGCAAAGGTGGAAAATCTGAGTGCTCGTTTCTGAATGACGTGAAAGTTGTGGATCTTGTTGCTTGACCTATTTCTTTTTATTGAGGCAGGGTCTTTTTTTTTAGATTTATTTATTTATTATGTATACAGTGTTCTGTCTGTCTCCTTGCTGGCCAGAAGAGGGCACCAGATCTCATTACAGATGGCTGTGAGCCACCATGTGGTTGCTGGGAATTGAACTCATGACCTCTGGAAGGGCAAGCAGTTAATGCTCTTAACCGCTGAGCCAACTCTCCAGCCCCGAGGCAGAGTCTTGCTACATAGCTCTGCTAACCTGGAACTAACAATCCTCTTGCATCATCTTCTGTCCTTCTTTTCTTATAATTTTTACTTACATAATTTTTAAAATCTGAAAAGGATTTTCCTCATAGCTTTCAGCCAAGTTACTTCAAACAAACACTTGTCATGGTAACTTCAAGAGCTACAAAGCAATCTGCAAGGGTGGGCTCCAAGTTCTGATAATTCTGGGGTTTTGTTTTACTTTGAGACAGGGTCTCATGTAGACTGGTTTCCCATTTGC